GATTCTTTCCATCATGATTTCAAAAAGGAGATCGTGGAAGGGAGGATGAGGATTGGAAGGTAAAGATTGGGGCGAATTTCATCCAGGAGAAGGATGATCTGGAGGAAATAGCGCCGATCAACCTAGATAGCATTGATTTTTGACATGGATTTGAGCTGTTAGGGCAGGATAATGAACTGAACTATCCGATCTGGAGTGTTAGTCATGATGTATCGATCAGTGGAATTAGTGTGATGTTTAATAATGGTGAGTTGCGAAGCTATATGAAGGATCTTTTGAAGTTAATTTAGATGATTCCAATGTCTGTTAGGTTGAATGATTTGAGTCTGAATCAACAAGTAAGGTATGCTCTATTCACTAAATGGCTAGTTTTGAATAATCATCTTGACTAATGGAGATTTTTTATCAATATAATGGATTTGTCGTTCAAGAAAATGAGTGAGAATGAACAAGTGTTGGCTATATGTGAATTGATGAATGTGTCTTTATATTTTCTGAAACTGTGTGTGAAGATGGACTAGTTAAGTGATTTCCTGATTGAATATGGGCTTGCTGTTAATGTGGATGGTGCTCGTGTTGTTGTTATGTTCTTTATTGATTCTATCTTATTTGGTGTGTATCTCTGGCTGTGGTTTGATGGATTTGTCAAGTTATGCTTCATGGTTTTCATGATGATGATTCAAGATGCAATGGTTAAAGGTCTTGGGAAAGCATATTGTGAGAGCTCAAGTGATTGGCTTATAGCCACCAAAGTGCCATGAAGATTAATTGGTGTAGGTACTAAGGGTTGAGGGCTCTCTTGGTTGTGTTGATGGAGATCATTTTGCCCTTAGCAATTCGTAAAAGTATTCTTTATAAGCTTGTGTTTGTGTCTTTTTTGTTTGTTAATAAGAGAGACTGCTTCTCATGGATCATTTGGCTTTGCTGTGGTGTTGTTACTTCAGTCTTATGGTGTTCTTTGTTGACCTGAAAGTTATTTTTTGCTTTTAGTGTTGTTCTTTCCCTCTTGTGTTGAGAGTGATTATTGATGCTGCTTTAATGAATGCAACTTTGGCGCATAAGGGTGTGGGCTCAGTGTTTGAGCAAGTCTTTGGACTACCATCCCTTCCAGCCATTTCTTGGTGATTATCATAGGCTTCAAGATACATAGGACAGTCTACTACACCTTGGCTAGCTTCTTGATATGCAGAAGAATTAGTCTTATCATTGCTGTGTCTTTCAGTTTTTTTGTAGGGTATTTTGAACTTTTGTTTGTTTTGGGTTTGTTGTTGGGTTTTGGATGTTAGTGCTTGTATTAGTGACTCTTTTAATGAATTGTTTTTTTCTCTATCCAAAAAAAATACTACATAACAATAACTATTAAATTTTATTTCTCCAAACTTGTCTCCGAAGTTCAATATATATATATATATAAAATATTTTACATATGCTTATCAAATAGCTTCAATAGTCTAGTAGTACCATAATTTCTTGGAATCTAAGAGGTTGTGTCCTCAAATCTTTCCATAACCAATAATTCCCTTGTCATCTCTGGTGCTAGTGGCAACCGATAGTTGGCATCGATTGCCAACAGTTTGTTAGAGTCCCAATGACTAATGGTGGTTATATATATATATATATATATATTTATTTAATAAAAGGGTAAAGTAAGGGCATTTTAAGAATCAAACATAAAATATATTTGAAATAAGAGATATTTGATGGCAACTGAGTATATATTTATTAGGGTAAACCACAATTAGATCTCAGAATATTGAATTAGTGACAAGTAAGTCCCCAACAATTTTTTTAAAAAAATAAGTTAAAAATATCAATCTAAATAATTACAAATTCAAGAATTTCAACTGTAAATAAGTATTTACGTATCAAATATAACTATTAAATTGCAATACAAATTTTTATTTATAATTATTTGAATTGATATTTATAATTTATTTTTAATTTTTTTTATTGAAAACCTGAATGTTATTAATTCAATATTTTGAGATTTAACTTTTATTCTCCCTATTTATCATGATTATAAGCTAAGTCAACCCAAAAAAAACTCAAAAAGCAATTATAAATCTGGCGAATATGTATCATAAATAATTAAATATGCACCAAGTCGCAGCTCTTATTAATATTGCTTGTCAAAATCGGAAAATTAAGCAAAAGGCGAAAGAGACAAAATGTGAATGGTCGATAATGGAAAGGTAGTCCACTTTGGAAGGCAAACCTCATCTGCGAAACCAGTCCTCACTCACGATGAGGACTGTGCGTCCCACGATCACAACTTCTCATGGATGTGCCACTTGAGAGAGTACACTTTAAAGTATAAATTCTTAAATTCCATTCAATATTCGATTTTAAGTAACTTGACTCAACCACCCAAAAGTTTTTAATTAACACTTCCCAGTTGGAGTTTATAGATCGAGATTGTCTTGGTAATTATTTATGTTTGTAAATATTTTAATATTCTTTTATTATTTTATGATTATTTTAATATTTTGTTTTATCTCCTTGAGTTGCCCTCAATGCCAAATTATGCTTGTCCAAACATTTTTCTTTTAAAAAAAGCCAAATCATGCTCTCCTGAATATTAAACCTAACTGGTCTCAAGCTCTTTATAGCATCTCCTCGTGCGGTATTTGAAAAGCTAATGATTTTTTTTTTTTGGTATTTCCTTTTTTAAAAAAAATAATTGAGGTTAGTGGGATCAAAATTATTTTAAAGAAATATTAAAACCTTTGTTGATTGACCACGTGGTTGGTTGTAAGCGGATCGTGGGGAGTTGGGCGGACAGACCGGCCATGTAGTTCTCCAACCCACTGTGTCCTGTCCACATTACAAATTTGACTTCCTCCTGTTTGACTTTAATTAAGGCTGCGCTTTCCTCACCAAAAGAAAACAAAACGAAAAAAATGAGAAGTGAGAAGTGAGAAGTGAGAAAATAAAGAGAGAACGAAATAATTTTCTCTTGTTATGCTTAATTGAGTGAGGAAAAATAGAAAGAGGAGAAAAATTGCTAATGTTATATAAAAAGATAATAATAACCTTATTATTTATAAAAATAGTTATATACAATAAAATTTAATGTTTTAATATATTATATATAATAATTTTTATCATGTATTATTGATTGAATAAAAACATAATTTCAAATTATTTTATCCAATACTAACCAAAAATTATTTCATCTAATTTATAATTGTATTTATTAAATTATTAAATTATCTAATATTTAAATTTCTTTTCAAATGGAATCCTAAATTTTCACTATTAAATAAATAAACATTATTCAAAATAAGAGTAAATCAGAGTTATAGAGTATATGAAAGCATGAGCTATCAATCATTTAAAAACATTGCAAAAAGGAAAAAAATGTTATTTTATAAAATTATGGCTTGTTCGCCACAGCCAATGATACATTTATTGTGACGAACCACGCTGAGACTAATTTAATTTACATAATAGTTAATATTTTATACATAAATAATGAGGATAATTTGCTCAAAATTTTAAAATTTAAGGTCTAGAACACTACTAACATAATAGTTTAGGGACTGTGGCGCTAATTAGTAATGACATGTTAGCATTAGTTGGGGTAATTTTTTATGAATTTAAAAGTTTAGGGTTTATTTTATACATTTTAAAAGTTTAGAGTTCAAAATACTTTTCAAGCAAGAGCTTAAGGTCCCATTTACTCATTAACCCAATATATAATAATTTTAAAATTTTGAAACTACAACCATATATAAGGAATTTAATTGAAAAATTTAAAATTAGTATTTGTCTAATTATTTTAAAAATTAAATATATTTCTTGTTTAGCAAAAATTAATGTTCAAAATGTAACTACACTATAAATATAAAATGAAAATTGGTGGCTAAATTTAGAAGTGGAATTTTCTCTCCAAAATCTATTCATATTTGAAGAAAAAAGTTAAAGGTAAAAACATGTACTCCATCTATTAAAAAATGTAAGGTATTTTTAATTAAATCTCACCCCCAATAAAGTAGTTACCTACTTCCAAACTAATCTTATCTTGCTATATTTACCTTATTAAATATCTTACAATAAATATAAAGTCAATCATCAATAATAACACTTTTGGAAAAAAGATAATTATTCTACCTCAAAAGATTAAAAATACTTTACATTTTTAAACATCCAACTACTCAAAAAAATATCTTATATTTTTAAATAGATGGAGTAGGTCTTACATGTTATTTTCTTCTCACTTTTCTTTTTATAGCCAAGCAGGGAAAAATATTATTTCCTCCTCACTATTCTCTCCTACCAAGCATAGCATAGTATATTATGATTTATCTGCCTTTTTCTATAAGTTATTGTTAAAAAAAATTTGATATTTTAAATTCTTATAAGATATTTTTTAAAAAAGTAAGGTTTCATTAATTATTACCACATCTCTTTAAAATTATAAGACAATTTTACAGATAATTTGATATCCCAGAATATAAAATAATTTGACAAAAATAAAATTGCATTAAATATCATATACTTTTTTATGTTACTCTTTCTTCATAATATACAGGTTATATTAAATGAAAGATATTTTTAAAAATTTATATTTTTATTTTAAAAGAAGTTGTAAACTGTATTTTTTGATACACCTAATTTTGTCTAAATTTATTTTATAAATTAGGACGCAATGAGTATTTTCTAATATTACCCCTCATTATTCCATTCTTTAAATAAATTTTCTTCTCTGTCTCTTATTAAAGAAGTGTCTCATAAATTGGGAGGGAGAGAAAGTATTCAATTCACATGTCTTATTATCATTTAATACATGTTTTAAAATATATAATAAATAACTGAAATTTTTGGTATTCAATCACGTACAACGTTTGTCTGCTTTTATATTCTGCATACATATGCATCGTGGGGTTAGGAAATCCAAAACTCAATCTCTTGTTGAAACAGAGACGACTGGGAGAATCAAAGATGTAATTATGATGATGAGCTATCCTATGCCTTGGCTCTCCTATATAAAGCAATGTGACAAACTGATTATTTGTAATTAAGCTCTTCTTATTATAGAACGAAGCATATTATCTCAACCAAGCAAGCCTTTACCAAAAATGGCTTCATGGAATTCACTTCCTCTCCACATTTCTTACGAGATCGTGGGTTGGCTTGTTTTTACTTGTTGGTCTATCAGTTTCTACCCACAAGTCATCTTGAACTTCCGCAGGAAAAGGTTTCAATATCCAACTACATCAACTTTTTCCTCAGTTCACTTTCTATGACTCTAGGTTTAGAGAATCGGTGTAAAGAGTCTTTTTTAACCGGTGCTCACATGTTTCATTTTACCATTCTCTTTTTGTTTTGATAAGTGGGAAATATTCATTTGATCAATTCTAGTTTGCCTCACTTTATGGGTTTTGGGAATGGTTTTTGAATTTCAGTGTGGTGGGATTGAACTTTGATTTTGAGGTGTTGAATCTCACCAAGCACACATGTTATTTGATATACAATGCATCTCTGTACTTCAGCTCTACCGTACAGAAGCAGTACAAAGACAAGTACGGTCAGAATGAGGTTAGATCCTTGTACTATCAATCATCACCTTATTATGAAAGCTAAATCAAAAGGCTTAAAACTTTCACACCTAGCTTGAAAACCAATTTTTATTTTTGATCTATATATGCTTCAGATGATACCTGTAGCAGCAAATGATGTTGCTTTCTCATCCCATGCTGTTCTAGTCACAGTTTTTACCATTTTCCAGATGGCAATCTACGAAGTTAGTACTTTGCGCTCTCTGCTTTTTTTTCATTGAGCTTCTTTGTACTTTTTTTTTAATATTAGTTATTTTATTTGTTATTAACTGATGAAATTTCTTTTTGATACTGTAGCGTGGGAATCAGAAAGTGTCAAAAATAACTTGTGGGATTCTGTTTGTCGCTTGGACAGTTGCTGCAATATGCTTCTTCATTGCTTTGTCCAATCATCATTGGCTGTGGCTTCTCTCAATACTCAGGCATGTTGTGTGTGTGTGTGTGTGTGTGTGTGTGTTTATCTGTGATTGATTTGAATTTCCTCTAATTAATGAATATTTGTTGATGTTAACCATTTTGCAGTATCATTCAAGTTTGCATGACAGTTATAAAGTATCTGCCACAGGTTAGGATTTATTCCATTTTCTATTCTACTGTTCCTTTTGAATGTTCAATTCAATTGGCAAGAAAATTATATTAATTTAACTAGAGATTTCAAGTTTGAGTTCAAAAAATGAACTAACAATAGTGATAGAGCTTTAACTCGAAAGAATCCCGGATTAGTTTGGACCCAACTCAAAACCGGGTTTTTTTAGCCGAGTTTGAAAATTGTTTTGTGCAGGCTGTGATGAACTTCAAGAGAAAGAGTACAGAAGGATGGAGCATTGGCAATATTCTGTTGGATTTTTCTGGAAGCATAGGAAACTATGGTCAAATGGTTATACAATCCGTAGATCAAGGTTTGTATTGACATCACCAGTAGTTACAAAGCATGAATGTTTTCAAGTTAATAATCTCAAACTGACAAATCAAAATTTCAAATGTCAGGTTCTTGGGCGAACTTCTCTGGAAATATAGGAAAACTAACGATATCTCTGGTATATATAGATCATTCTCTTGCATTCAATTATATACAAGGAATGACAACATCAGATGTTAATGGTGATATAATTAATTTGATGTTTTTCAGGTTTCTGTATTCTACAACATTCTGTTCATGATCCAACATTATATACTGTATCGGCACAAAAAAGTCTCAAACTCAGAGACCCCACCACCTGAAGTCGAGATCAACATGTCTTCTGATAGACCAGTGGCGAAGATTGTGTAGGATTTAGTGTGTTCATCATCTATCTTTGAAATAAAACCATTCTCTAGACATGGTTAATCCATGTATTTGAGATGAGTTACAGTTCTATTTGTTTTGTATGTCGTATGAATTTGGGTCATGATATGTATGCCCTTCATCAAGTAACTAGTCAATATAGATAAAGAGAGAACAGAAACAAGGAAATTTTGCTGGTTTAGCTACTCTACCTATATATATATATATATATATATCCCTACAAGGCTCTTGAAATTTTCCTATTGAAAATCACCGATTACAATCATGAATATTTTACATATATATATGCTTACCTACAACAGGGTTTTTTTATGACTCAATCAGAAATTAAAAACAGATCAGCTGAAAACTGAAAATCAAATTACAGAGGAGTCATCATCAAAATTATAAGGAAAAACCTTGAGAAACCATTTGAAAAGATGAGCATGATCTCCTAAAATATAGATAAGTTTAGGAGGTGTTAATTAAGAACCTCATGGCATTCACGACAGCATTATAGGACAATGGCAACGATTAATTTTGTAACTAAACTAGCTAACCTATGCATCTGATTCGTTGATGGTACTGATGATGATTAACAATGGCTTCGATGCAATATATATATATATATATATATCCAAATATGAGGGAGAATGTTTTCTAAATATTATGCCAGCCTTGCATCTTTTACGGCCTGAGATCAATTGTAAATCCTTCACGTATTCAGTTCAATAAACTAAACACGCACAAAAGTCAATTAAACTACACAATGGCTAGTCAAAATAAACTGTTTATAAATAGCTTTGAAGATTTAAAACCAATTGAGAAAGGATCCATAAACTTAAGTTTTTAAGGTTTTAAATTAAGATATTATTTTTTCATTACTCTTAGCCATTTCTTTTCTCTTCCTGTTCTCCTGGTGATCGCTCCTCATTTCCAATAATAGTTTATACCATGTGGAGTATATCAATAGTAGGCAGAGCTAACCTAAATATGATTCTATGATGGTTATTCCGTTTTTTAAATAACATATGGATAGCATGTTAAGAGATTACATGCAAAATTGATTTATAAGAGAAAAAGTAAAAATAAAAAAAAATAGAATCTAATATGCAAGAGTATAATAGTAAATTGCATATTATCTCTCTTTTTCTCTCTTCTTAAATCAAACAAAGGATTATAAGAAAACATTTCTCTTCCTTTTCCCTCCAACAAAATCAAATAAAATAAAGGTCAAAGGGACAAAAATACATAAGAAGTCATCGTTCAAGAGCATTTAATGGTCTAAAGTGAAAAAAAATACACTAGTGCTAGTAAATCCCTTTTTTTTTTTCCTTGTACATCTATGATCTAGTCACTAAATTTTAAATCCAAAACATAATGGTCAACATATTTGACATTTAATGATTTAGTCACAAATGCATTAAAAAAAATAACTCATGAGAACTTATGTATTTTTTTTTTTAAGCTACGGGATGTTCCTTGCCAGCAAATTATTAGATTTTTTTTTTACCTTTTTGCCCTAAGATATATAACATAAGAACACTTTCCTTCCCTCTCTTTCCTTTCATCATCCTCTCTTAATCCAAATACAGGTCCAGTATTATAAGTTTGACTAGTCTCTACAATCAAAAGAGTTTAAAAAATAAAATAAAATCAATCTAAAATGATACATATGCATGCGGACTGCGGACACACATAATATATAATATATTACAATTTATTATATATCACAAAAGGTAGTCTATCTTCAATCAAATTAATCAATTTTATATATATGCTTGAATTAGATAAACCTTTTATTTTAAATTATTTATTAAATATTTCAATTTTATTAGATAAATTTATTTTTATTTAAGCTTGTCAAAAAAATGGGTGATATAGCTTAAAGCCAATCTATAAAACGTTAAGGCTTCTATTACAGTATTAAATTAAGTTATCTTTCATATCATGAAAAAATTAATGTTTAAAAAATATTGCTTAGATAATTAGGGTTAAATAACCTAATAGGTTTTTTTTTGTTATCGTTATATCTATATGGTATCAATTTATAAACAAGAGGAGGTTTTTCACTTTTTCTTTAACCTGCGTGGAGAAGAGAAGTATGGAATGCTCCCATATTTATTTTTCCAACAGAATTCTCACATATACAACCAACTAAAATATCTGTGAAATATTTTAATGTAATTTTTATTTTATTATTTCCTATAAAGCACTCTCTCTATTTAAAAATGTAAGGTATTTTTTGAGAAGTTAAATGTTTAAAAATACAAGCTATTTTTAGTTTTTTATGGTGTAATCATTATTTTTTTTTAAAAAAGTATCCTTATTAAATAGATCACTTTATATTTTTTTTACGGTATAAATAGGGGTAAATATAAAAAGATAGGGTTAATTTAAAGATAAATAATTATTTTACTAAAAGGTAAGATTCAGTTAAAAATATCTTATATTTTTTAATAAAAAGAGTATAAAGTTTCATAATTTTTTTAAAAAGATAAATTTTATGAAATTCTTGAATTTTCAATTTTAGAGAATCCATTCCCATGTAACACACGTCAAAGGATTGATATATTAATTAATGATGTAGGTAAGCTAATATATAAAATATTAGTTCTTTAAATACACACACGTCTGTAGTTATTTATGTTCAAGGTTAAATAGTAAAAATATTTTAAATTTTTTTCCCACAAGCACAAGCGCCTAGCGTTCTAATTTTTTTAGAGTATTTTTTGTCTTGAAAATTTTAAAAACAGAGGATTTTTACCCCCACCATTAAATAAAGCAGAAAATTCAAGTGAGTCGAACTTATTCAAATATTACTTACCTTTTTAAAAAAATTTATATAACCAAGTTCAACCCTAATTGTTTGGCTAGGTTCGGGCTGGCTCTCGTGTTTGGATAAGATTACCGATTTTATATATATAGAGAGGTGAAAATTTTAACTGTTAGGCTTATTTGGATTGGCTTATTCGAATTGGACTTAAAACATCCTACCCTCTTAAAAAAGCTCATATAGCCAAACCTGATCCTAAAATTTTTTGAGTGAATTCAAGCTAGCCAGTCTGGTTTGACCCAAATTATCAACTCTACTATTAAATATGAAACATTGACCATTAATTAAAGTTTGACCAGGATATTTTATATCTTTTGTTTTTACATTTTTTTAGTTTTCATTTTTATTTGTTGAAAGAAAAAAGTTAAAAACTTCAATGGAGAATGGAATTGAAAATCAAACAAAGAAGGAAGGAAAATAAAAAATAAAAAAAAATCTTTAATCAAACTTTAATTTAACAATCAACGTTTGCTACTTTTAATGGCAAGATAAAAATGTTCTGTTTTTTAAAAACTTTTAAAGCAAAAATGCTTCAAAAAAATATAGGATATCATATTAAAAAAAAATATTTTAAAATATTTTTACTCTTTAACCTTTATATTTATTTATATATCAATTTATAGTTTAAATAAATATTATAAAAATTAGTATATTATTGTTAAAGTACGTCCTTACAAAAATCTAAAGTCAACTTAAAAAGTCAAAAAGTGAACATGAAATTGAAGAATATGCATAAATTAGAAAAGCAAAAGTCGAAATACACAAAAAGTGATGGCAGTGGGAGGGTAGCCGGCCGCACAGCCGCAATCTATAGTCCATTCATTATTGTCGCAGAGATCTGTTTGTGTTTAATATTATATCGTAGCTGTGCATTATGGAACAAATATGCAAAACAAGCTCAATCAATTAACGAGGTTCTTTAAGGACAAATCTGTTTGTTTTTGTGAATATTTCAATATAATATTTCCTCTTACTACTTTGTCTTTTTACTAAATCGATCAATTTATTAATATTTATAAGCCACACATACATATCAACCTCACACTTAAAATAAGGTGGGGTTGCCATTAAGGTGAATAATTTCTGTTTGGTCAAAAAGGTGAATAACTATTTTAATTGGCATTTTCTCCCACTAGTTCGTAAGTATTTCAATAATTATTTTAATAATTTTTAATTAGTGGGCGAGATCTCATTCCTCCTTAAATGTATAAGGTGTAAATTAGAAGTACTTCTCCCAATTTTTATTACATGTACTTCTAAAAAAGAATTTCTCGATCCTTAATATAATGTCGCATAGAATTAATTACTATTTTAGAAACCTTAATAAAAAAATTTCTTGTTTTTACCCTTATTTATTTCAACAATTTTAAATGAGGGACAAATTTAAAAAACAAATGAGAAGTAAAATTGATAATGTAATTCATATTTTTATGCGTTTACTACATTTCTTAATGTAGTTCATACCTCAAAAGATGATGAATGGAGTATTCTTTTTTTTTAAAAAAAAAGGGTTAATAAATTGTAAACCAAGCTTCTAACCACTTTCATGTAATAACATAATGGTATGTTGTTAATTTCTAAATAGAACTTATTATTTTATAAATATTACTTGTTAATTTGATGTAAATAATAACAAATTAAAAACTTTAAAACTTTACGCATTTTACTTGTTAAGTGTCCCAATGTATTATTATCAATTATAAATAGGTTGTTGTCAAAAACTAAATGAATACTTATTAATAAATGTTTAACACGCACAATTAAGCCCTTTTTATTAATTTTTTTAACTTGGTAAAACCAGAATAAATTGTTGTTAATTTCGAATGAATTAGGAGTTCTTTTTTTTTTTTAGTTTTTTTAACTTGAGAGGCAATTCTGTCATTTTGTTAACGAAATTAATGTGAAAGAAGAACTAGAGGACTGCAAAGCAAATATCAAATTATTTGATTCTTGTGTGATATAAATTCAATATAGAGGTCCTTGAATGCTATTTTTCCTGTTCTAAATCCAAAATTATTATGTGAATAGCATTTCTTTAAACTTTTAAAATGTGCAAAAATTTTTCTCAACTTTTAAATTTTGAGTGTTTGAAACGTTATCATTAAGTTAAATAAAAGGGTATTTATTTTTAAAGATCAAAAGGAGTACCATATTAGTATGCAACTAGGCCCTACAACTATAAAAGTAATGGTTATTTTTTTCAACTTAATGGCAAGATTTAAGGAGCTCATAATTTAAAATTAAAAAAAGTTTTTATACATTTTAAAAATTCAATATCCGGATACTATTTAACTTTGAGAAATAATTAAGATGCTCATAATTTAAAAATTAAAGAGAGTTTTTGTATATTTTAAAAGTTTAATATC